CTAGGGTTTCGTAACATGGGTCGGGCCAAAAGTCAAGCCCAAGCCTCCACAAACCCAACAATAGTATCCTTTGTAATTTGAACCCAGGCTGAGCTCTATTCTTCTATTATCCTCAGTCAGTGAAGTTTTCCACCATTTCCGTTTGGAAAGGAGGGACATTGAAATCAAGATCCATTTGATGGTGTCCAAATCGAACCATAAATGAAACTTTCTACTTCCATAATCCGAGATGCAGAAATTGTTATTGTAGAATGAGTGAAAAAGCTCAAATACCTTCGATTGGGTTTTGAATTTGAATCTAAGGTTTCGGCTGGTTTTAAAATCAGATGATGGAGCTTCAGGGCTGTTGAAAACTAATCTAGAACCACTGAAAACGTAAGACTCTCTCTTATCCTTAGATTCAGCATCGCGGAATGGCCATCTTCTACCTCGGTCTGCGAAACTAGCTTCTCTATTCTTAAGATAAGTGTGTCGGTGAACAATAGATCTCTTCGAGCTTTGTGGGTGTAGAATTCTAAGATTAGGCTGCGTAAATCGACGATCTGGTCGCCGGTAATAAGGAAATACATTATCCCCGCTCCTCCTTCTCTCTAGAAACTCAGCCATCATATCATCATATATATATATATATATATATATTTATATATACACACACACACACTAGCAATTCCACGCGCTTTGCGCGAGGTTTATTGCCCGATCATGATTTTATCACAAAATGAGTTATGATTTTTGTTTATGTCATGTGAATGAATGTGTACATTGTATTAATTAAATAGGTCATAAAAAAGGAATTTGAGAAGACAAGTACAAAAGAATAATTAAAAATGAAGTTCTGAATAATGCATTGAATATATTTTAGGATATGTATGGAATAGTTTTAGTACAGAAGTAATGTTTGTAGTTGCTTTGAAGCGGTAATTAAGCAATGACAATAATGTGTTAAAAGTAAAGGTTAGAAATGTGTCAAAGTCATCGGGTGGAAGGAAAATAAGTGAATAACAGTAATTGTAATTTAAAACATTCTTCTTTTATGAAAACATGGTGAACAAACTTGTTCACAATGAAGAATGTTTTATGTAATTGTAAACATGGTGTAGTCAATAGTACATGTGTTGTGCGATATGTAGTGCACGATTATTATTATTATTNTTCAGATTGAATATTTTGGTTGTTCACTCCAAAATTCAATCGGATAAAACTCAAAAGTATCAAGAACGAAAATATGAGAATTGCTGTAAAAAATCCGAACGAAATTCGACCATGCCCAGTGGGATTTTATAGACTAGGGGTGAGAAGGAGAAGACACCATTCGCGGCTATTACCCAAAGCACGCAACTCTTCGCGCGGAAGTTCTTCTTCAAAATTCGGTCCTATCCATCGGAATTTTTCTTTTAAAGAAAATTCGAAATTAAAATTCTAATTGGACCTTGGACCCCGCAGGGGCTGCCGCCCCTTGAACCCTGCTCGGGGGCGCTGCCCCCGAACCCCCGCCAAGGGGGCGCTGCCCCCTTGGAACCTCCGGTGTAACGGGTTTTTTATCGTAACAAACTCAATGAAGCGTACACTCCGCACCACCAAACTTCTTTGATGATTATTAGGATACCATTGGTCGTAGTTTTTCCAATTACACTAAAATATATAACATTCCTCCCCTATTTTAGTGTAATCCTTGATTAACTAAACAAATTCACAGCAAACAACAAACTTATGCATAAATGAAATATCGTGACGATTGAATTTCACCTTAGTACATTACACATTTCAAATATTCGAATATCAGGGTATCACTAAGGATTGAACCCTTGCTATTCATTTTGAATACATGAAGATAATATACACAAAAGTTTACATACTTTTAATGTTCTAACTTGACACTATTATTTACTAGCCTTGTGTCCTAATCCTTCATAAGCATATCGAAGCGAAGTCTCTACTTCTTGAAGCGGCTAAACTTCATGCTCATATAGGTAGTCCTCTTTATTCTTGCACCTGCATATGCAATTTTTCAAAAGAACTATTAAGAAGACGTACTTCATCCTCCTAATCTTACAGGTCTGAACACATACTTTGGGATAATATACTTAATGTGTTCCAATTTCTAGATGTTAAGATTTTCCACATTGAATTCAGCATCTAATGTCTTATTAGATGGGAATTGGGATTCTTACCATGAGAAATTTATATACACTTCAATCCAATCCCTATAGCCGATCTTTGCACAAGGTTTCTACTTAACCCTTTGGTTAAATGATCAGCCAAATTTTGTTGAGTCCTTACAAACTCCACTGATATCACACCATGCATGATGAGCTCTCGAACCATGCTGTGTCTCACACCTAAGTGTCTTGACTTCCCATTGTAAACTTGACTATAAGCCTTAGACAAAGTAGCTTCACTATCACACCGAATAGATATGGGACATATTGGTTTTGGCCACAATGGAATGTCATATATCAGATTTCTTAGCCATTCTGCTTCTTTACCGGCTGCCGCCAAAGCTACAAACTCAGACTCCATTGTAGAGTTAGTTATGCAAGTTTGTTTCTTTGATGCCCAACCAATTGCTCCTCCACCGAGAAGAAATATCCATCCACTTGTGGAAGAGTGATCTTCCATATTAGTTATCCAACTTGCATCCGAGTATCCTTCCAAAACTGAAGGAAAGTCGGTGTAAGTTAATCCATAATTCATGGTTCCCTTCAAGTATTTAAATACTCGGTTAGTCGCTTGCCAATGATGTGAACTAGGATTGCTAGTATACCTACTAAGTTTTCCAACCGCATATGCTATGACTGGCCTAGTACTAATCATAGCATACATCAAACATCCAATAGCTCGTGAGTATTCTAGTTGAGATACCGCAACACCTTTATTAGGAAAGAGCTTTAGACTTGGATCAATAGGAGTACTGACCGGAGAACAATCTTGGAAGTTAAACTTCTTCAAAATCTTCTCAATATAATGTGATTGAGAAATAGAAATTTCATTATTCTTACGCTTGATCCTTAAACCCAGAATCACTTCAGCCTCCCCCATGTCTTTCATGGCAAACCTAGATGACAAAAATTCCTTGGTGTTATCAACTTGATTTTGATTAGTACCAAATGTTAACATGTCATCTACATATAAGCAAATTATAACTCCTTGTCCAGAAGCATCAAATCTGCTATATACACACTTATCTGCTTGGTTTAATTCAAAACCATTTGACAAAACAACGTCATCAAATTTTTGATGCCATTGTTTTCGTGCTTGCTTTAGACCATAAAGAGATTTCACCAACTTACAAACCTTATTTTCATTCCCAGGCATGACAAAACCTTCAGGTTGTTTCATATATATCTCTTCATCCAATTCACCATTCAAGAATGCAGTTTTTACATCCATTTGGTGAATCACTAAGTTGTGTATAGCCGCAAGGGCTAATAACAATCTAATTGTAGAAATTCTAACAACAGGTGCATAGGTATCAAAGAAATCAATGCCTTCTTTTTGTCTAAATCCTTGGATGACCAATCTCGCTTTGAACTTATCTATGCTTCCATCAACCTTCATTTTCTTTTTGAAGATCCATTTACATCCCAGAGGTTTGCACCCGGGAGGTAAATCAGTCAATTTCCATGTATTATTTTGCATAATAGAGTCAATTTCATCTTGAATTGCTTCCTTCCAAAATGCAACATCCCTAGAAGTCATAGCTTCATTAAATGTCTTGGGATCTTCCTCAATATTGAAACAATATTGATATTGAAATTCAATCTCATCTCTTGTTCCTTCCATCAAGTAGAGTTGAAAATCATCACCAAAAGATTTTGGTTTTCTTGCTCTTGTACTTTTCCTTACTTCAACATTTATGGAAGACACATTTTGAGAGACCTTTGAAGTAGGGGTCATATCCTTTGGTCTAGATATAGAAGTAAATCTTTCTTCATCAAAAATTGCATCTCTTGACTCTATAACTGTGTTTACAGATACAAAGTCATTAGGTTCTATAACATAGAACCTATATGCCTTGGAATGCATAGCATAACCAATAAAGATACAATCTATGCCTTTTTCACCCAAAGTTTTCCTCTTTGGTTCCGTAAGTCTAACAACGGTCCTACACCCCCAAACTTTAAGATAACTTAAGTTTGGTGGTTTTTTGTACCAGAGTTCATACGGGGTTGTTTTCATCCTTTTATTAGGAACTCTATTCAACAAGTAACAGGCCGTTAACATCGCCTCACCCCAAAATCCTTCGCTTAAGCCCGAATAGGATAACATGGAATTAACCATTTCTTTTAAAGTCCTATTCTTCCTTTCTGCAACACCATTTTGTTGTGGTGTATAAGGGGCAGTTGTTTGATGTATTATACCAGTATTTTGAAAATATACTGGATCATAATACTCGCCTCCCCTATCCGTTCGAAGAATTTTAATCAAGTTACTTTGGTGTAACTCTAGCTCTTGCTTATAAATTTTAAATTTATCAAGGGCTTCTTCTTTTGCATGTAACAAATAAACAAAGCAAAATCTGGATGCATCATCTATGAAAGTGACTACATATTTTTTATTTCCAAGAGAAGGGGTACTATGTAAGTCACATAAATCACTATGAATAAGATCCAAAATTTTACTTTCCCTACGAACTTCTTTGAATGGTTGTCTCGTTATTTTAGTGAGCATACAAGTTTTACACTTTTCAATGTTCAAATCAAACGCAGGTATTAAACTCATTTTAGACATATCTTTTAATCTCTTGTAATGAACATGTCCTAGTCTAGCATGCCACAATTCAGATTTATTTGAACCAATGCTAGAACTAGTAGAAGCCATACATATAGATTCATTGAGATAAGATATGTCTAAATTTAATTTGAACATACCATTCAAATATCCAAACCCAATAAACGAACCATGTTTAGATAATACATATTTATCGGACTCTATGACTTGTTTATAACCACAATTATTTAATACAATACCAGACACTAAGTTTTTACGAATACCAGGAACAAATACTACATTATTTAATGTTATTGACTTTCCAGAAGTAAACACTAGCCTAACACTTCCAATTCCTTTGATGGGTTCGGTAGACACATTCCCCATGCGCAATGTTGAGCCATCTTCAATTGGCCTCAAAGATGTGAACCAACGTTGATCCTTGCACACATGGGATGTTGCTCCCGAATCTACCCACCATGCAACATCATCATCCTTGTTGCATATTTGGGTCCTTCGACCCACTTGGACCGGCTTCTTGTTTTCCTTTCCCAACCCTGCAATCTTTCTTGAAATGCCCGGGTTTACCACACTTCCAACACGCCACCTTTTGTTTCTTGTTGGCGGTGTTCTTGTCGGGCTTGTTTTGCTTCCTTTTTCCAGACTTATGCTTTCCCTTGGAACCACCATCCTCCACCATATTAACACAAGATGGTCCAGCAACGTCCTTGGATTTGTTGCTTTCTTGAGCCCTCACTGATTCTTCAATCCGAAGATGAGTGCCCAATTGAACCAAAGACAAATCATCTTTGTTGTGTTTCAATTCACGTTTATAGTCTTTCCAAGACGGTGGCATCTTATCAATTACATTCGAAACAGAAATACATTCGTCTTGTTTCATACCATGTAAATTAAATTGTCCCAACATACGCACAAGTTCATGATATTGTTCCATAACAGACCTCGAATCAACCATCTTATAATTATTAAAGTCACTAACAAGAAATTTCTTACTTGATGCATCTTCTACCATGTATTTGGATTCAAGAGAATCCCATAACTCCTTTGCAGATTCAACATTCTGATAAATATCGAAGAGGGGATCAGACAAACCGTTTAGAATGTGGCCTATGCAAAGAATGTTGTCATTCTCCCACTTGCAGCGCCTTCTGGCATGTTCAATGGTTTCGTCCTCGCGCTCTTCTGGTTTGGGAGTACTCAGCACATACACGACTTTTAGAGTCGTCAACAGGATCTGCATCTTCTTCTGCCATCTTCGAAAATCCTGTCCTAGGAAGCCTTCCAGTTTAGTGAAGTTACTGGTTCTGTCCTTCGTCGATTCACCGTTCGTCATCTTCAACGAAAATATTCAATCTTTGTTGGGGAAATTAACGATAACTTGGATGAATCGAGAGTTGTGTAAACACTTTCAGATTGAATATTTTGGTTGTTCACTCCAAAATTCAATCGGATAAAACTCGAAAGTATCAAGAACGAAAATATGAGAATTGCTGTAAAAAATCCGAACGAAATTCGACCATGCCCAGTGGGATTTTATAGACTAGGGGTGAGAAGGAGAAGACACCATTCGCGGCTATTACCCAAAGCACGCAACTCTTCGCGCGGAAGTTCTTCTTCAAAATTCGGTCCTATCCATCGGAATTTTTCTTTTAAAGAAAATTCGAAATTTTTCTTTTAGGATACCATTGGTCGTAGTTTTTCCAATTACACTAAAATATATAACAATATGTAAATAAAATAAATTGAAAAAACTTGATATTTTGCCTCGCTAATAGAAATGTGACAAATAATTTGGGACGGAGGGAGTATGTGAGAAAGAGGGGAATTCTCTAAAATTGTAAGAGGGCCATGCTACCCTTACACCACAAATTGTACCCCATTTGTACACCGCAGTTATACACAAACATTTTGATGGTTCACCGACACAAGTGTTTGTGCATTAACAAAAATTTACACGGACACAAAGTGTTGGTGCATTAACAAAAATTAATTTTACACCAACACAAAGTGTCGGTGCAAACCTGCGGGGTACAAAGTGGGGTTCAAAAGTTAGGGTACAAATAACTTTATCCATTGTAAGAGATGGATGAAAAAGAATTGGATATATGTAATGAACACAGTGGTGGCGTTATGTTTTCTGAAAAAGAATTGGATATATGTAATGAACATAGTGGCGTAATACTATTTAAAGTATTGAGTGCAGGCGTAATTAAAAGCAATAAACCAACATCAATTATTGCAGAAGATTGGGAGTAGACGGCAATGCACAGTGTAAAGGCAAACTTGGATATATGTAACGGCGTACAACACCCAAATCACAAAGTACAAAATTTATGGATGGAAAAGGTACACAAATATAAGGGGTACCTAACTGGGTTTCACATTTATAAGATAAGAGGGATATATATATATATATATATATATATATATATATATATATATATATATATATATATATATATAGACACACACACAAAGATATTTATCTCTACAAGTGTACATCATCTTGCAATCCATTATTAGGCATCACCATGCATTACAAAGAACTAGGCTTTTAAATTTTTTAGTAAATATAATCTAGTGGACCTATTTGAATGTTGATGAATTGCAATCCTTAATCAAATAGAATGTATTTCCCCCATCCCAATTTAAAATTATTCTTTAAGAAAACAATGATTTGAAAACTCTCTCCTCACTATTTTGAAACTTGTATTATTTTCTAACATATTGGGTCACTAGTCTATGGATTAGTTATTTCCAAAGAACCATATGATTATCCCCTTTTTCATGTTTCTGTTGAAATACGTCCTTGCTTTGATGCTTTGCTAATACCAATGTTTATTCTATGTAGGTTTTGATGTAGACAAACCACCATGAACTTGGAACAAGTTCAGAAGATTCAAAGGCGTTGAAGTGGTTTTATTGAAGAAACAAAATGCACACGGAAAACCGATGAAATATTGAAGTCAAGACAAAAGACTAAGGAATTTAATTCTAAAACAAGTTCACTCAAAATCTTCTAAGTCTTGGATCAAAACAAAATCCTCATTCACATTTCTAAAAGTGGTTTTTAAACCCTCAAAATGGTTTTGTCACTTTGATTTTTAATTTTAACAAAAAACCATGCCTTGTTCTATAATAGTGAGGAAACCATCAAATATCTATTAGATATTTTCTATTTTGCCTTGACCATGGTTTTTGTTGTGGCAGTTTCACCTTGGCATTTGGCTACTTTAGCCAACTTGGTTTTGGCGTTGATTTTCACTTTGGCTCAGAACATTAGTTATCTACAAGATATTTGATGTTCTTGACCAACATTGGCTTCTTGGTTTTCGAAGATTGGTTTTTAAACTTAAACATGGTTCTTAGTCCTTAGCGATGGTTTTCAACTTGATTATCAAAAATCATGCCAAACTAGTCCAACATCGAATATTAGGTTGATATTCGATGTTTCCATGATAATAATTATCAATGAAAATAACTATCAATGAAAAATATGAGTTTAATATTCGATGTTTTGATGACCAAACATGGTTTTTGGCATCCGGGAAAATTAGAGGTGTAGTTCTCCGAACAACGCTATTTTGGCAGCTTTAGATTCCCTCAATTTTTTACTGCAGGTTCTTGAACATTAATGTTCTATGGTAAACATCAATGTTCATATTTAAGACAAAATCTTTCCTTATTTGAAATTCAACCACCAGAATAGTGATGTTGTCTCATGAACATTATTGTTATCATGCTCATTAGCCAGTCCAAAAGGAAAGTCAAACCTTAGAACAATGATGTTCACTTTAAAACATCGATGTTAAGCCTGGTTTTCAATAGGCCAACTTTGATTTGATTTCCACAAATCAAGCCAATCAACACCCATCTTCTCCCTTCTTTTGCACCTTGCTTTTTGGTATAAAAAGGGGTTTCTTGGTTCTAGCTTAACACACAAATCTTCACTTTATTCATTGCTTTACTTGCATCATTTCCCAACATTTTTCATAGATTTTGAGAGCCAATTGATGAAGAATTTTGTGTTCTTGTTCTTATACTTGTCTACTCATTTCCTACTCTTTGAGAGAGCTTTGTACTTGAGTCCTTGAGTGTTTCTTACACTTTGAGGGAAGGTCGTTCCGTTGTTAGCTTGAAAGAAGGGCATATTCCTTCAAGATGGTTTTGAGACTCGTGTCACTTGAGTTCTCAAGTTGTATCGGTTTGTTAAGCACCCTTAAGCTTAACAAAGGTAGTGTTGCTCGAGAGAGTCTCGGGAGACTGGATTAGCCACACGTTGTGGTGAAAAAGTGTAAAATGGTGCAGTGGTCTTTACTTTATCATTTTTATTTCCACACTTTTATTTCTAAGATTTTTTAAATGCTATTCACCCTCCCTCTAGCGTTGGGCATATATTCTAACCATTGCTATCAGAGCATAACTCTCTTCCAAATTAAACCGTTTAAGGTGAAAAAGATCATGTGTTCTTCTTCTAGAAATTTATATACAAGAATAGGTGAAGGGCAGTCAACTTCAAGGCCACCGCTCTTTGATGGCACAAACTACACTTATTGGAAGGAAAGAATGAGAATTAATATTTTTTTTGGCAAACTTCTAACTTTGTCTTATCATCAACGATGGTGAGATAGTTCCAATGAAGAATGTGTAAAATTGGTATTTTCCTTGATTGATTCAATGCATGATACATCATTTATATACAAGAGTAAGGTCTCCTAAATATGGTAGGAGTAGGAGTATGGAAACTAATATATTTACAATAATAATTAGAATATATACTTTACTTAAATATAATATAATATATTTAACATGCTCCCAACTATGTCGGCTGAGGAGGGGGCCTGATGCCAAGGTTTGTCTTGAACTCTGAGAATAAGATGGATGGGAGTCCCTTTGTGAATATGTCAGCATACTGCGAGGATGAGGGGACATGCAAGACTCTGACCTGTCCAAGTGCAACTTTATCACGAACAAAATGAATATCTACTTCCACATGCTTGGTACGCTGATGTTGTACGGGGTTGGACGAGAGATAGACCGCACTAACATTGTCGCAGAAAATCAGAGTGGTGCGGCGTAGGGGAAGACGAAGCTCGAGGAGAAGGTTTCGAATCCAGCATGCTTCGGCCACTACATTCGCCACAGCGCGGTACTCTGCTTCAGCACTTGACCTAGATGTGGTTGCTTGGCGTTTGGAGGACCAGGAAATGAGGTTATCGCCTAGAAAAACACAGTAGCTGGAAGTGGAGCGTCATGTGTCAGGGCATCCAGCCCAGTCGGCGTCGGAGTAGGCCTGGAGAAAGTCAATGTTGGAGCGAGTAATGCAAATGCCATGAGTAGCCGTCCCACTAATGTAGCGCAAAAGGCGCTTCATGGCCGTGACGTGAGCCTCATGTGGTGCATGAAGATGAAGGCAGAGCTGCTGTACGGCATAGGTGATGTCCGGGCGTGTAAAAGTGAGATACTGAAGGGCGCCCACGATGGACCTGTACAGGGAGGCGTCATGGGCTGGCAGGCCAGCGAAGGATGGGAGCTTCGATTTTGTGTCCACGGGTGTAGAGATGGGTTTGCAACCGATCATCCCAGCCCGCTCAAGAATGTCATGTGCAAACTGAGTCTGATGCAAGAAGAGTCCAGAAGGGGTTCGCTGTACATTTATGCCCAGAAAGAAATGTAAGTCTCCCATATCAGTCATAGCAAATTCCCCTTTGAGCCGGGAGGTGAGGCGGTGTAGTAGTGTGGACGAGGAAGCTGTAAGAACGATGTCATCAACATACAGAAGGAGGTATGCCGTGTCTGACTCCTGTGAGTAGGTGAAGAGAGACGTGTCAGCTTTGCACCCAATGAAACCCAAAGTCCGGATGAACCCTGCAAATCTATGGTACCATGATCGGGGCGCCTGCTTTAGTCCATAAAGTGCCTTCTTGAGTTTGCAGACATAATGAGGCTTCGAAGGGTCCTGGAACCCCGATGGTTGTGTAGCATAAATAGTGTCTGTGAGTGACCCATGTAGGAAAGCATTTTTGACGTCCAACTGATGGATGGGCCACCCTCGTGAGATGGCAATGCTAAGGACGATCCGAACGGTCGCAGGTTTGATAACCGGACTGAACGTTTCGTCATAGTCGACCCCGAATCGTTGATTAAACCCCCGAACTACCCATCGGGCTTTGTACCTGGTTAACTCCCCGGTGGGTCCAAATTTGTGGCGGAAGAGCCATTTACCGGTGATATAACATTTTGGGAGGGAGAGGGTGGCACAAGTTCCCATGTGTCATTTCGTAGTAAAGCATTAAATTCATCACACATAGCGGCATGCCAGTTTGGATCCTTAAGCGCACTACGGTAAGTTGGGGGTAGGGGGGAGATGGAAGCGGTGGTGTTTAAGTTCAGGATCTGTTTGGGACGGGAGATGCCGGACTTGGAGCGTGTGACCATAG